TGATTCTACACTGAATCGTGATTCTACACTGAATCGTGATTCTACACTGAATCGTGATTCTACACTGAATCGTGATTCCACACTGAATTGTGATTCCACACTGAATCATGATTCCACTGAATCATAGCTCAATATCTGTAAAATTCACCGAGGTACAGCCGTTCTGTTTGCTTGTTGCGGCGGCCATCTTGATTGGGGTTAACTCAAAAGAAAGTTAGCAGTCGGACAACCTGTAGCTCAGTTTAGTTTATCTTCATATTTTATTTTTAGGTCTACAAATTTAATGTTTTTGTTAAATTTGGTTAATTAAAAAAATACTGCATATTGGCTAAAGATTTAACAGTGATGTTGATGTACGACTAAAAATGACTGAGTTTCATTGAAATCCTTCCAGTGGTTCATGATATTTTGCTAACAGACTACTTTAACAGTTAAGATCAAGGTTTCAGGTAATGTGCTCACAGTGTGTGCTGGGATGACTCTCAGCTACTACCACACCAAGTTTTAGCTCAAAATCTGTAAAACTTCCTGAGTTGTAGCGATTTTTGTGCTGGCTTAAGTCGGTCAGTTCTGGTGGCCATCTTGAATCAGGTGGACTCCAAAAATGTTTCATTAAAGTGAGTTCACTAGTTGGAGATATTTTGCTAACAGAGTCAAACGAACAGATCTTTAGCCTTTAAATCAACTTGTCAGAAATTGAGAAAACCCGGTGTGCTGCCGCTGCTTCATACGCCTCAGTCAGAGACAGTTTGGGTCAGAACCTAAAACAAGTTTGGGAACCACAGATCCAGAAAAAGTTGACACAACTTACGTCTGACGGTAATTTTATTTGTACTCGTATTTTACCAGAATCCTGGCTCACGTTTCGTTCCCAGTTCTGGTCTTTGCACTTCCCACGTGAGCGCATGAACGCACACTTTAACTCGTCAATAAAAACTATTAATGTGGAGAAAACTGGTTTAAAATCGCTGCGGTCGGTCAGATGGTTCCCGAGAACACCAAAACATGAAAATGTCTCGTTCCGTGTTTTCTTTGGTACCAACCTTTGTCCTTCTCTGTGAGAAACAGAAGTCTGAAGTCCCATTTGCTTATTTTGAAGTTTGATCTTCCGGTAACAGGAGACACCAGCTTTGGATTATCTGAATTATTCTGGTATATTTAACCCATAAATGCTGGAAAATTAATCAGTTTTAATCAAATATGTGTGATCAACCTTTTTTCTCGACTGTTTTTCTGCACTAAAAGTGGTCCAAAGGTATTAATTTGTTGTTTTTGTGCTAAATCTGTTCCTCCGGTCTCCAGACAGGATGGGACGATTCAAAATGTTAGAAAAACACAATAAAAAACAGTAAAAATGTCTAATTCATGACCAAAGAACTGTGTCGATCCCTCTGAGTGGTGTCCGTCCTGTTCGAAGGGACTCCTCAGTTTACCCTGCAACACATCAGGATCACCAGTTGTTTCCAGTGAGATGCTGGTAAACAAACCAGTAACGTAAATAAAAGTGTATCTTTTTTCTCAACTATTACCTTTTGGTTTGTGTTAATTTTGTAACTAACATTTTTTCTTATATCTAAAAGTTATTAACAATAAATGTGTTCAAGAAACTCTGTTTTGTTGTATTTTATTTATAATTTCACTAATTACCTCTGGAGAGCAGCTTCTATAATTAACTACAATAAAAGAAGTGAGCTCTGAAGGAATGCATATCACCCGCCGCCTCGGCCCCAGTTTTTAAACTGTTGGAGCTCAGAGTGTTGGTTGGGGATCACTCAGCTACTACCACACTGAGTTTCAGCCACTTGTTTTTGCTCCTGTCGATTAACCGTGGCGGCCATCTTCCAATCCGTTAGAGGTACATCATTTGTTTTCAGACTCATTAAAATTTATTATATTTTGCTAACAGACGCATCACAGCGGTGGGCGATAACCTGAATTCCTGAAATTTTACAACCCAAAAAGCCAACCCAAGGTAACGTTTGATCCGTCTAATAATTGAAAAGATTATTTGTAGATGTACAACCTGTACAGTAATCTGGTGGGGTGGGCGAAAGATTAAAGGTTTTTATTTCCAGTTCATTTGTCCAGACAAGTTTTAATCTGTGGAGAAGTTAACAAGGATGAATGTTTCCGTTTTCTGTCGAGTCGCTCCTGGTTTCCGTTTGTTCGCTCTTCACCTCTGAGCTGAAACATTCCTGTTTGTTCGAGTCTCCAGGAATATTTACCGGCTCTTCCTCCGATTCTCTCTCGTTTTCTGACTCTCCAGATGAAGTCGGTACATTTGGAGAACGGCTTTTCTTCTTCTGTTTCTTTTTGCTCTTCTTGGTTTTTTTAGAGCGTTTGTGACGGCGCTGGGAGTTTGTTTCGTCAGTTTTACTCTGCTCTGGTTTCTCCGGGCTTTTGTCTCGACTTCGTTTCTTCCTTTTCTTTTCTCTGCTCGCGCTTCTCGACCGTGCCTCTCCGTCGGTGTCCTCGTCTTCAGATCGTTCCTTCTCTTCACTTCTGTTTCTATATTTGTCTCTGCTTCCATTTCTCGGCCTGCGCTGCTCTCGGTCTCCGCTCCAGCTTCTGCTCCGACGTCTTTCCGTCCTCCTGTCCCCGTGTCTCGATCTGGATGTCCGTCTGTCCTCTCGGTGCCTGTGGGAGCTCCTGCTTCTCTCGTCGTCGGCTCGTCTGCTTCGGGACCGTTCCCGTTGTTCTGGGCTCTTGCTGTAGCGCCGCCGCCTCCACGACCGCTCGCTGTAGCGCTCCGAGCGCCGCTCGTCTCGCCAGCTCCCTCTGACGCTGCGGACGGGGGACAGCTGAAGGTCCCTGTCGGCCTCCCAGAACTCGTTGCCAGGATTTCGGAACACGTGCAGAAAGTTGCAGTGTTTCCCTTTGGGGCACTTTTTTCTGTCATAAAGTCCTAATGAGGGGAAAAAACATGAAGTTACTAAAAAGATAAACTCTTGGGAGAAATCTTCCGTTTCTGAACTCACCACATATGGCGCTCTTCCAGCGCGTGACGGGACACGCCTCACACTGGAGCTGCCGGCCAGCGTACCACCTCCCGTTGAACTTGACGAAGGCTTCGTTGCTCTGCTCCTCCCTGACCAGTCCACCACGAGACAAACGGATAAAAAGTTAGAGACGGGGGAAACAGCCCAACTGTTTGGAAATAAATGTTGATCGTGAGACGACTTACGTGGCAAACTGAATGTAAACGTTTCCTCTCAGGTGGGGTTCATGGTTGCAGCAGACCTACGAGCACAAACATATCAGTGGAAAGGATAAAAGTCTTCCTGAACATTGACAATAAAAGCTTTTAGTTCTTCTCGGCACCAAAATAAATTAAGTGTTTTTCCCCACAGTCTTCAGGGCTCATTTGTGGCACCTGCACCTGATGACGTTAAAGATTACACTGACGATGGTTCAGAAGAAACCACAGAAGGAAGTAGTGCTGAACCACGACTGTAAGAGCTGGGCCTTCAGTGAAGACGTCGTATAGTCTTTCCTCCCAAATGCTAACCCTAGGAGGAACATTGGAGTTGTCTGATTATGTCATTTTAGTTTTAGCTTCGCAATCGAGACTCGCTGACAACCTGTTTTTATCCATCAGGTCCAACATCTGACTTACAGTGTCATTTTATTTACAATCACCAACCCACACTAAACAGGACAACCCATCTGAACACAGGACCTGAAAAAGTCCACCCATTTCTGTCCCCAGATTACCCAGAAGGCCCTGCGGCTCACCCAGCCTCATGTTCAAGTACATGTCATTTTAATTATTCAGACTGAAATGTAACAGTAACAGAACTTAGTGTGTCTGTAAAATGTCATCACGTCATGAAACCAAAATACAACTATAATATTAAAAACTGTCAATGTAAACCTAAATTGATATTTAACCTTAATTTCTGTGTGGATTTTTTTAATTTACAGGCTCCAACTGAAAGAGCATCCAGTGTAAAAACTATTGTATTATACATAACTATTGTAAACTATTATACAAATCTTTCATGCGAGTTCGCTCGCTGTGACAACCCTTGAAGAAAGGAGCAGATGAAAGAAACTCAACTGAATGCATCATAAATCTTTGTGTGGTCAAAAAAAAAAAAAAAAAAAGCTTTGCAAGTCCTTCCCAAAGTCCTAATCCTGTGTTTTGGTCCCACCCACTCTACATCAACATCGTCATGGATCCATTTCCTGTCAGTCATTAAACAAATTTGTCTTGGCCTTCTCTCCTTACAGTGAAGGCCTGACCAATGAGAGCAGCCTCTGTTTCTGCCTGGAGACAGAAATTTTAAATAATTTAATTGAAGAACATATTTTCATGAATTAAAAAAAAATGTCTTGCTCAACTGCAAAGTAGTTGACAGAAAACAAGAGAAATGAGCAAAAATTTATAAAAACTACATTGAAAAGATGTAATTTATATGAAATATGAAATTAAAATTATAAATTTAACATGTCGTGCTGAATCCTTAAGGTTTCCCCCACCCCATGGCTGTAACGTTAGAAAGTAGGAGCAGCTGAAGAAACACACCGTGAGCTGAAAGAGGAAACAGCTGTCCTCTCACCTTGAACTGCACCACTTTGCCGACGCTCTTGAACTCGGGCAGAACGTCGTGGTAGAACTCCAGGAAAGACTCGTGCAGGTCCTCCTCGCTGTGCTCCAAACAGGCGTCCATGTCGTAATCGTCCCGCCGCGACTCCTCCATTCCAAACGTTACGAACATCCCTCGGATCAGCAGAGTCGGGCTGGACGTGGGGTAAATGTGCTTCCGAGAACATCTGTGCTCACAAAGAACAGTGGAAAAGAGATGAAGTTAGAAGCGTGTTCAATCACCACCTAAAGTTTAACCTTAAAGGAGGATCTCACTGGGCTGCGACTAGCTGGAAAACAGGATTCTCAAAATAAACTCCAGAACCGTTTCCTCCGGAGTCGCAGCGTGTGCAGCTCTCTCGCTCGAGTTTTGAACTTTTCCCAAAAAAACTGACCGATCTGCTCACAAAACAGTAACAGAGTCATGGCAGACATCTCAAATCCATCAATTTTTTGTCTTGGAGGGGCTACAATCTGTGTCAAGAGCTCCATAGCTGTTTTAACTCCTGCAGGGAGGAAACGTCCGAGGCTGCAGGCCCGTCTAAAAACCACACAGACTAAATATAAGCCAACAAAACTGTCCTGATCTGCCTCCATTAGAATAAATTAAAAATGTGGAGGCGGCTGCTGAAATAAAGTGCACGGTCAAAAACAAAGTTGAGCTTGTTCTCAGTGCAGGTTGGACTCCACCAGGACTGTCCCTGGTCTCTGATCCTGTTCGTTTTCCAGTATGTCCCACTAAGAAGAGACCTCAAGGAAAACCCAGAACTCTGGAAGGATTATAGTTCCTCTCTGGTCTAGGAACACCTCGGCGTCTCCCACGAGGAGCAGAGAGAGTCTCTGAGGAGAGGGAGGTCTAAGTTGGTCTCCTGGACCTGCTGCCTCTGCAGCTTGAGTACAAATAAGCGATAGAGAAGGTAACGAGTGGAAGTTGAAATAAACTTTGTGAAATAACAGCATAGTGACAGAGATGTTAATATTTTTATTATTTATGGTTACTGTATTCATTTTTATTCTTTGAATATGTATGGCAAAAAATATGCTATTAATAACCTTTTTACATTTAATTTGATTCCTGGAGAACATCTGGGGGTCCTTTGGGAACTACTCCAGTTTAACAGTCGTGTACACAAAAAGAGGCCAGTCAAAATGTGCCCACGCGGCTTGTTGGTCGTTCGGTTGCAGGACGCGGTGAGACTGCTACAGAAAAGTTTTCTCACAATTCTGAGCCTCCACCAGTCGCAGCCCAGTGACTCGTCACCTCAAACGGTACCTGTCTCCGAAGCGGCACGCTCCGGTCTTGAGGAAAAACGGACAGTTAGCCACGTCGCGCTCCGTTCCAAAGTTCTCCGAGTTCGAGGCAGCGGGCGCCTCAGGATTCATCCACGGCCCTCTTTTCTCAAGCTACGTGTGAAAACGAACAAAAACAATCGTCGATTCTGACTGAGAGGTGAAATAATGAACTACACATTTCAGTTCTACCAGGCTTTGAACATTTGACTCTACAAGTTTAACGTTGTTCCTACCTGACTTTCAGCTTCATCCAACATTTTCTGAACGGCCTCCTACAAATGGTGTAAACAGACGGCAGGTGAAAAAGTGAAGGGGTCAACGTTCTGCAGCGTATCTGTTACTGTGGGTTAAGAGCGCATTGACGAGGCTCAAAAATAAAAAAAAACTTAATTCAAGAGTTCTGGATCAGTTTACTGTGGGTCGGCACCAAAATAAAAGATACATCCTTGCTGTGAAAGCTGAAGGGGTTTTTCTCTTTGAGAGTATCTTAGTTAAGGAGATGTATAATTGCTACTCAGTCAAGGAAAAACACAAAAAAGCTGATGAAGTAGGGAACTGTGTCATTATCTGAATATTTAATGAACCCATGCAGCAGAGGATATATTTCTTTACGTATCTATCCTCCCAGAGTCCGTTTCACCTCTCTGCCTCGCTTCTCCTGCTGCCTCTGCTCCTTCTCCTCTCGTTCCCTCCTCTGCTGGGACTCCCATTCGTCCTTTATCAAACGCTGGAAAGAAAAAGACACAACTCTGGTTTGCACACAGCTTAGTCAAATAATCGACAGGTGCAGCAGAACCGATGTTCGGTGCACTGAAGACATGAAGTAACAACACCAGAGCAAAGAAATACGCAACACTCACAACAGAAAATACTTCCAACAAGGATTACTTTATATTTTTAGACAATAGAAAAATTGTGTGACTCTACATATTCACGTAGTAAACAAATGCTTTTTCTCTCCTTTAGAGACAGAGTGAGAAGTTCAGTTCTCCAAGTAGAACTTCTGCTCCTCCTCATCCAGGCGAGACAGCTGAGGAGGATCAGACATCTGGTCAGGATGGACCCTGGATGCCTCCATAAGGAGGTGTTCTGGACATGTTCAACTGGGAGGAGACCCCGGGGAAGACCCAGAACATGCTGGAGAGACTCTGTCTCTGCTGGTCTGGGAACATTTTGGAGTCCTCCTGGAAGAGCTGGAAGTCTGGACCTCTCTGATCAAGATGTTGCCCCCAAGACCAGAGTCCAGAACCAGATGATGGATTTATGGCTCGATGGATGTTTAAACATGAGATTACCTCCTCTTCCTCTTTTTTCTTCCTTGCAGCTTCTTCCCTCTCTGTCCTCAGCCTGAACTCCTCCTGGGCCAGCCGCTCTCGTTCCAGCCACTCCTCGTGTTCCCGCAGTCTGAGAAAACAAACAAAAGTATGGATTTAATAATCCTAATATTCCTACTGCCAGTCAGTAAATACAACCCAAGTCTTGTTCTACCTGTCTTCCTCAGTAGCATCATTATTTTCAGCATCTTCATCACTCGCATCCTCTTCTTCTCCCACCTCATTGTTCAAGTCTATAAAGTGAATGTTGAGGTTAGTGTGGCAGCATTGAACGCTAAAAGTAATCATTTCATTTGTGTTAACGTCAGTAAACAGTCGGGTGTGTACCACTTTCTCTGGCCTGAGCGAGAGCTCTGCGTTTTCGTCGTCTTCTCTCTTTTCTTAGCGCAGCTCTGCGTTGTTTCTGACTGAAAGGAGGAACGTATTTAAACAAACAAAGCAAACAAATATGCAACTGTAGCAGAGAAGCTTTATAAATGTACAGCTTTGTAAGGTTTTTCTGTACTGATTCACAGAAATAATGTACATCCACAGGATCTTGAAATACTTTAATGTCCAAATATGATCTTTTTTTTTTGTTGTTGTTGTTCTTTAAAGTACAACGTTCATCTGTGTTTTGTTGCCAGAAAACCTCTAAATCCTGATCATACTAATATATTGCAGAACTTTTATTGGTGATAAGTAAAATACTCATTCAATCTCGGTTTTATCTGAGGTTTCTGAGGCTCGGCTGAGAAGAGGACCCAAGAGAACCGGGGTGTTGCTTGATCCCAGGAACTTTTTGTTCAGAAGCAATGATCAGGGTTTCAGTCGTGCTAGAATGTAACTGAAGGCAGTCGTTAGCTAAACAGACTTTAATATGGGAAACACAGTTTAGTAATTCAACTAACTTGTGTAATTCTGAATCATAGAAGGAATGGTACATTTGAATGTCATCAGCAAAGAAATGGTAAGACACATTATAGAAGCTACTAATAATCTTTTCAAGGGGGTTGATGTATAAAAGGAACAAAAAAACTCATGGGTAAGACTGAACGTAACAAATACCATACAATAACAACGTGAACTAAACCACGCTCTGATCTTTTCATTTTGTTTAAATAGTCGAGGTGTTCTTAAAAAAAAGTATTTTTTCTGATAAAAGCATTTAGAAGCAGACATAAATAAAACAACTTTACCATGATCAGATTATTGGGACTGTTTCAGCAGATTTTTTTAACAGAAATTTAATATTTTGTTTTTTTTAAACTACAGCTCTAACAGGTGTGGGGACGGTTATTACCAATTATTACCCCCCTAACAAATACACATCTACATTTATTATTTATCCTGAACGTAACTTTTTCTCTATTTTTTTTCCCCACATAACGTGTAAATATTTTGGAAGGAGATTATTATATGTCACAGATGCATATCAAGGCAGTTTTAAGCTCATCAATAAATGTAAAGCTTTCCCTTCTGTTAGATGGGCCATAATAATCCAATCCATTTATAATTTATTCTGCAGAAGAAAAACAGGTTTGATGTTGGTTTTCACCTGCATACATTGACACACCTTCAATAAATGTTATTAAAATATGAATGTGAACTCAAGTAAAGAGCACAAGTTTCAGTTGTTAGCTACAACCTGAACGCTATTTAAAAGTAAAACATATATAAATAAGTCCAAACATGCTCATTTAATTATTTATCTTGTTTAATTCAATTTTATAATCATAGTTGATTTTAAAAATCTGCTTTTTTTTATTCTAGAAGTTCTGCAGAAAACGCACAAAATGCAACATTGTCTTCAAACGTCACAATATTTTCTAGATTTACTTAATAATAACTTTACTGTAACTTGATGATGCAGACCGCTGACAAAAGTGCAACATTTGTAACTCTCATCAGCACCGTAGCTTTTATAGCATAGAATCATCTCATTCTTTGTGAATTATTACATCAGTGAAATAATTTCAGCATGATTTAAAATAAGCTGCAAACCTTAAAACGGGAGCAGAGACGAGTGGAGTGGAAGCGGCCATGATGACAGCTAACGGAGGCTAGCGAGTTAGCTTGTTTGTGTCTAACGTTAGCAAGCTAATCTGTATCCTTATCATAATAATGTAACGAGTAACTATAAAATAAACCCTGTTAACATCTGAAATTTAATTATAAAACAAAAAAGCCTTTTAAGAAAAAAGGCAAAACTACTGTTTTCTGTTTACTATAACCCAAACGTTAACGTGTGTTTGAAACAGGAAGTGACAGAAAGTACTTCCAGGTTAATGTTTTTTTCTTTAATTATTATTATTATTATTTTTTTTTTTTATTAAAAGTAAAACATTACGCGACAGTTATCAATATACATTCAACCAAAAAAAAAAAAAAAAAAAAGAATAAACATAAGCCAGTTTATTTATTCAAATAAACACATTAAATAGGGTGCACATATCATAGCTTGTTACTTGAGTCAGAAATGTTTAGACTCCTTCTGGAACGCCTGAAAGTGACTAAATTTGATTTGTGTATATGGTATTTCACTAAAAGTATCATGAAATGTATGATATATAGTTCTTTCTTTTTTTTGTTTTTGATATCATGGACTCCAAAAAGTACATTGTTCCAACTTAAACATAAATTAGAGTCAATCTTTCTATGATTAAACCAGATAACTTCTTTCCAGAAGGAGTCAGTAGTGTGACAGAGCCAGAACAGGTGGATCACAGTTTCAGGTTCAGACTCACTAACCCTAACCCACATTGACCCAGTTCAGTCCATTTACAAATCCAGCCCAGTAATGAACAACATAGGGGATAACAGTGGTAATATCTGCTTGAAAAAAAAAAGACCTAATATTAAGATTATTATTTTTGGATTTGACTGAAAAACATAAACGACCAACTGGTGTCACTAAGGGGTCAAAGGATGGAATAACGGCTGGTTTTTCAGCACTCTTTAATAAAGCTAAAACACCAGAGGGAATAGAATTCATTGTTATATAAAATTCTGTATCAAATTCTGGGTCAGAGTCAGAGTTTCTTTATTGTCATTCGCACCTCATGTGGTACATGTGGTGGAGCGAAATTATGTACACAGGGTCCCAGTTACATCCAACAATAAAATGTAAAAGAAAAACAGTAACAACATCTAAGAAATGAACTAAGAAAAACATGAACTAAATATACACTAAGCACTCATAACATAAAACATTACGTCGAACATCAGCACAAACATGAACATGAGTCCGTGTGAGCAGATGAGCACACATGAACACATCAACATTGAAATTATTCTTTTGGGGTTATAGGAAAATTAAACGACTGCAAGAACTCAAAGTAGCTTAGCAAATTCCCAGTATCATTAAGTAGCTGAGATCATCACGAAAGATTTATATTTCTTCATGATTTACTGCTAGAAATGCAACACAGACAAAATGAACATTTTCTCATGAAAACCAACAATTAAACAAGTCAAATTCGATTTAACCCACATTAAACTGTATTCACATTTTCAAAACAAACAACACGTGTGACACAAATTCTCTGTTTATTTCAGAAACAGACATTCAACACTCAACTTTTAAAGATTTTAAAGTCCCGCTCCAAACAGTAACTGTAAGCACAGAAATGCTGTGAAAGAATTTCAGCCTTTTTTATGAGTCTCTGATGCTTTGTCGCCCCCGACATGCTGATTCATTCATGCTTTTTCTCTTCCACCGGCTTCAGGAAGAAGGCAGGCTGGGTGCAGCAGCGATAGCAGAGGAAATGTGGAACAAGAGTGTACAGAACGTTCACCAGCAGGAAGACGAGCTGGTTGTCCGCTGGAACTCTGAAGGAGAACGGTGTCCGAGTGTGCAGAGAGGCGCCCATATGAGAGAACTGGGTCTATAAAGTGAAGCAGGAAAGAATGAAAGGGATGCACAAACAGAAACACTGCACTTTCATATCACCTGCTCAGAAATATTTCTCAAAATGCTGTACTTACCGTATTTTTCGGACTATAAGGTGCACCAGATTATAAAGCGCGTTAAGCCAAACTAAAACATTTTGACATATTTTTGAGCGCTGTGTATCACATAAAATCAGTTCGAGGTCAGTGAACAACCAGAATTAATACATAAGGTGCACCAGATTATAAGGCTCACTGTTGATTTTTGAGAAAATTAAAGGATTTTAAGTGTGACTTATAGTCCGAAAAATACGGTATATTAAAGTTAGTACGACCTGGCAAATACTTGAAAAGATGCAACAAAATCCTGTTCATTAGGTTTACAAGAGGTTTGCATTTTACAAAGACTTGCATTATTTATTGACTGCTGACATGGAATATTTTAATGGAACCCTCGTAAAATGATATCTACTGTTTGGAGTAAACTTATTCCAAGGTGGCCCCCAATATAAGTCAGTCTGCATGGTTCGCTTGTATGTGAAGTAAAGCTAAGATGTACCTGTATAATTATAACATTTCATGCAATATTTTAATGTTGTGACTTTCAGAACTATTCTTTTCTTAAACACAACAAACCATTTGTCTCTACTAGGGGTCAGCAACCTGTGGCTCTGGGGCCACATGGGGTCAGCAGCCTGTTGCTCTGGGGCCACATGGTGTCAGCAGCCTGTGGCCCTGAGACCACAAACTTTGAAGGAGCTTTTTGCTCCTTCAACAGCAGCTAGTTACGGTGGCCCTAAGGTGTAAATGAACAAAATGTGAAAAAACGGGATTATATTAGAAAAAACAGAACCACGTTAGAAAAAAACGGAATCATGTTTGAAAAAATGGAATTACATTAAGCCAAACAGGAAGTTTTTTTTTACTTTAACTTTATTAACTTTATTATTATTATTATTATTGTTATTATTTATTAACTTTTATTTTTCAAATGTAATTTCGTTTTTTCAAATGTTCTTCATTTATACCTTAGGGCCACCATAGGCTAGTAGCTTGTTAGCTGCTTCATTAATCAAACTTCCAGCCTTTCTCTAAATGCACCAGAAAACTTTTTCTTAGTTTTTTTTAGTTCAAGCTGCTGAGAAGTAAAAACATAATGTGCAGTTTTGCAAACATTTCACTGATTACAGGCAAAAAAATAAATAAATAAAAACATGGCATTGCTAAAGAAACTAAATGAAACTGGTCTAAATTTCAGGTTATTTTGTTAAAGTGAGATACTTTATTAATTTTCCACAAATGTAGAAAAGACTCATAAAGATGTGTTTAAATTTGATCAAAGGAGGTGTAACCAAAATAATTTACATAAATAATAATTTTCCCCTAAAATATAAAACAATTATCAACACAATTTAGATTTATATTTTGTATGTCAACAAGCTAGTTTATATTTACAGTGAATAACAGCAGATGGGTTGTGCTATCTTTATTTCAGGCTTCTAGTGCAGAGGTCATCACTCCCTCACAGGCCAGAAAAGGCCCTCACAGTGAACTGGAAGTGGCCCATGAGCCACTAGTTGATAATCACAGATCTGGACACATTTTATATAGTGAGTGAAGGGCCAGAAATGGCTCTGTAAAGGTTGCAGAGCCCTGGTCTATAAGAAGAGAGGCTCAAGGTCAGATTTCTTTCTGCTTTAGCATCCAAAACATCTCTGAAATCTGGACTGAACAGCTGAAACAAAACAGCATGTGGGTAAATAGCCTGGCTGAACAGCTGACATTTAGGTGAATACCACCATTCCTCCTGGTCTGAATCACCTTCTGCCCATAGCCCCTCTGATGAGTGACGCTCCGGCTCGCAGCTCAAACACAATAGCTGCTTTGCACGGCGGTGATGAGACCGGACCTCTAGCTGTTGCCGCCAATCTTCATAGTTTCCATTTTTAGACCTAAATGGATGTCTCTATTGTGCTTGATCCCCCAGATCTGTTTATGTGAAGCTGCTGGCGAGAGCTCGGAAGAATAAACTGAAACCTCTGAAAACACTAACAAGAACGTCTAATAGAGATAATTTATACGCATCTTTGCGCTAAAATAACAGGTTTAGCTAACAGATGTAAACACATGTTGAAACAAAGATAAACTTCAGAAAAGCCCACGTGGAAAAAGAAGTTTCGTTGCTTTTAGCTGAACCGGTGGCATGAGCTCGACGTTTACAGATGGATGAGTGATAAAATGAGACAATGTTGTTCAGTCAGCTGGACTTTTCCTGCTGGTTGAAATATTTTGACACAACTTTCTCTTAGAGCCTGAGTGGAGGGATTGTTTCATTTCCACCCAAGATGTGCAATACGCTTTTGTCTCCCAATATTTTTAAGGAACTAAAAAAAAAATTAAAAAAAGATTGTTGAAAATTTAGCGTTTGAGCACACTGATCCGTTTTCCTTTTCAAAAGGTAAAAACTGCATCATCCCCTGAAAGAATGCAAAGAGCTCATGTGAGCTGTTAATTCTCAGTTACTATTGCCCAAATATTAGCTCAACTGGGACTGTCTGCTTTAAAGCAACTTTTGATCCCACAACTTTGCTTTAATTGTCAGTGAGTCTACAGACAATGTCACGCATGCTGTCTTCTTCCACCTGGAGAAAAAGAGCAATTATGGTCAAACTGTGCCACAGCAGTGCAGAGAGAGGCTGTTCTGGATGAAAAACCTTCAATTTGTTCTTTGTTTTAGACTTCCTGTCTACGAGACTTCAGGTGTGATCAGAAAACATCATCCATCCATCATCGCCCATCAAACAACCAGCGTGTGGCTCAGTGGAACTCCGATCTCAACCATTTGATGCCCAAGGAGACTGATAAAGAACTGCTGTAACTTTTAAATGGTAAAACTGTTCATCCATCCAACCATCCTCTTGTTCTGGACTCAGAACATCAAATCTGACAGCTATCTCCACCTCTTCCAGCTCTTCTGGGACTCCAAGGTGTTGTCAAACCTACATAGCATCTCCAGGGCGTCCTGGGTATTCCCCGGTGTCTCCTCCCAGTTAGACATGTCCATAACATCTCCCTAAGGAGGTGTCCAGGGTCCATCCTTACCAGAGTCCAGGACCAGAGGTGAGGGTACGTATTGACCAACAGGTAAACAGAGAGCTTCTTCCTGCAGCTCAGCTCCCTCTTCACCACAATAAAATAATATTCTGTTAAAGAACTGTTGTAGCTTGAAGATTTTAAGATAAATTAATAAGGTTGATTTTATTTTGTTTCAGCTGAGTGCCTCTTAAAAAAAAAAAAAAAAAAAAAAAACTCTTTAAACAAGCTGTTGCAACTTTCCTCCTTGGAGACCGTCCTCAAGAAAAGATCCAGAAAGAGAACTCTTCAGTTTTGTGGAAGATTCCTCCCACCCTGCTTCTAAACCGTTTAACTTCCTGACACCTGGAAGAAGATGTTGCTCTGCTGAATCCAGACCCACCAGAGCATGTTACAGTTTCATTCCATGAGCAACAAAGCTGCTAAATTTACAATACTGTAATACTCATCTGGACCAGAATATTTCACTGTAATTGCTTTTGTAATTTTTGTTGTTGTTGCAACAAATAAAAGCATTAGTTACTAAAAATGACGTAACGGTTTCCCTTACATGTGATTATAAACATCATTAGTGTATTTCCAGGAAATCTGGCATTTAATGGTTAAAATATATTGTTTTTTAATAATAAATGTTTTTTTCTTGGTCACGAGTGCAACAATAGGCCAAACCTGTGCTAGAGCTCCTGAGTGTACGAGGGTCAGGTCTGGCATCCATTCACAACCTGGGACCAGCAGTCCATACACGGCAAAGATGTAGTATGGCCCAGAATACAGCATGCTCACTAGCATCTGGTAAACATGAATGGAGTTTATATGATTAAAAATAAATATGGAGTCAGGGTGATGCTTCCACCTGTCCCGTGTCTCTGAGTTACCTGAACCTTAGGATAAGCTGAGGGATCTTTCAGGTACGGCTCGTATCGTTGGGTGTAGTCTTGACACCATTTGCTTGAACAATCAAGAGCAACCTGAAACAAAAGCAAGAGATTTATGAATGAATCACAACGTGTTTGGTAGTTTTGGTAGAGATTAGAGCACCATCTCATATTTCTTACCAGTCCTCTGAACACACAAAACACAAATGCAGGAATGAGGTAGATGATAACCAGCAAATCCAGAGGTCTGTGGAGCACGTTGGACCTCTGTGGCCCTTGAATGTTCTGAAAATAACAAGAACAATCTGCATCTTTCTGCACACAACAGGCTCCCCTACAGCTTCATCATCTCCATTATGCAAAAATAAAAACCAGCAAATCCTTCTCGGGATATAAGTATTTGGTGTCAAAGTCAGAGAAACTGTCTCAACACTTTCTGGACATAATCTTAAATATCTGAGTAAAAGTTTTTCAGATTTGTCAAAGTGGTGTTTGAACAGGAGCATGGGGGCCACTAGCAGTGTTGGGGTGGCAAACCCAAACCAAAAACTATGACAGAATTTCAGGAGTTGTACAGTATCAGGTTGTTGTCATAGACCAGATGATTAGGCAAAACCACAATATGCGCTTTTCTACAACACTTTCCTATTTTACACAGCCTCTGCATAACTAACGAAAGCTTTTCCTGTAGGCTATAGGCCTAAATATATTAAAAAAAAACACATGTAGACTCCTGAAAGCATGCCATCATTTTGAAGGAAGACTATCCATCCATTATCTTTTACCCGCTTCTTCCATTTTGGGTCACGGGGGTTGCCAGTGCCCATGTCCAGCGATCACTGTGCGAGGGGCGGGGGACACCCTGGACAGGTTTCCAGTCTACCACACGGACACTTAGAGACAAACGAGACAAACAACCATTCACTCTCTCACTTACATGTAGGGACAATTTAGAGTTACCAATCAGTCTAACATGCATGTTTTTGGTCTGCGGGAGGAAACCGGAGTACCTGGAGAAAACCCACACATGCACGGAGAGAACATGTAAACTCCACACAGAAAGGCCCCCGGACAGGGACCTACTCCCTGAGAGGCAGCAGCTCTACCAGTTGTGCCACTGTGCTGCCTCTGCAACAAACCTTTATACCCTACTTGTTATTTTACTATCTTTATTTTATTTTTTATATCTTTATTTTGCCTGCCTTAAGCCAGGTTGTTGTAAGGTATGGTGCCGTCCATCCGTCCTCAGACTGTCTCCACATTGCATGTCATTTAATAAGACCACTTCCACCAAAGAAACCTTTAGTGCTTCTGGGGAATTCTATGCCTTCGATCATCAAATGATTTTGGATCATCTGGTGGTCATCTACAGGTGAGTTCTTCACCTGAGAGCAGAAAGGTTCATGTTATTTAATTGACCTGTTTGTCCACTGATACCACGGAGAACGTTCTTATCAGTTACACTAACCTTTGACCCCACCACCATCATGTTTAAACCTGATGGCCACATAGATTCAGGATTTTGTGAGGGAATTCATGCTTTGGCCTCCAATTACTCTGATGATTTATTAACGGATGGACGTATGATGGACCGTTAGTGGTCTTCTTGTTGTTATGGTTAACAGAGTTTGGAGAGAGGGGTCCACTGGTTTCCTGTTTCTGTCTCCTTGAATTGCACAAGTCTGTCAGTTACTGCAGTTTGTAGGTTTTGAGGAACTTGTTGTTCTACTTGTTGTTGTAAACCTGGATCCACACTCATATCTGTCATTTAAAGTTTATGAACAAAACCATCTGCATGCCATACAGTAATTCTATAATAAAGGAAAATAAATGGAGCATATAGATTATGACATAGTTTATGGATGTACTGATGGAGTTATGCAGCTTTGTATCCAAGTAAAACACAAGCATAAGATAGTTTAAGTAAAATGTATTATTTTTGCAACTGTAATAAAGTAATAGAAATAATATTTAAAGGTGGCATGATGACTACACCATTGTACCCTTAACACCATCATTACTTTGTATTTAATGTTTACCTCTTTGTTAAATATTAAGCAGAAATAATTGACCAGATTCAAGTGATAGACAGGACTGGAGCGATGGCTCCAAATGTTTGTTCGTTTAAAAGGTACAAGCTGAACAGTGGGTCCAAATTTTTACTGATGTTCTGAAGATTTCAGCTGCTTACTGTTAACTGAACTTCATGCGTTGAAGGTTGACTGAAGACCCGGAAACAAGCCCACACAGACACCGAGACATGAAGCATGTGGAGGACGAAGAGGACACTAAAGTGGGTTCCATATTTCCCTGGGAAAAGACAGAAGAAGACGGTTTATCACTGTGGGAAACATGCAAACTAAAATACCTAAACTATCATAAATGTGCTTTGTTTTCATCTTACGGTCATGGGAAAATAAAGTTCAGCCATGAATTGAGGGTGGACTTACTTTTTAGTCAGATTTTCCCTCCAGTGAGCAAAAACACACAACAGATTCTAGCGAGTCGTTATTTTTTAAACAGAAACTAAAAGTTGAAGCTGAGTGAAAACTGGTGCCGACGTCGCTGCTCCCACAGCATCTGCTGCTGGTCAAACTGTGAAGTGTCAAAGGTCATTTAGAGTCCATCAATCTAGAGAGGTAAAGAGGATTCACATTTCAAACAGCTGATTCACCCTGAAGGTCAGACCGTGCAGTGACTCTACAGGCCTAATCTAGCAGGTCAAAGGTCATGGCCTCTTCTCTCTGAAAACAACATGGCAGCTCGGCAGGTTTGGAAAGTTTCATCTGAAGGAACCACAAGACTTCAGGACCAGAACAGACCAAAGGACAGATGTTTACCCAGAATGCACTGCATCAAACTGCTCCTCCCAGCTGTCAGCACGGTGATGGAGGGCTGATGGTTTGGGCTCCTGTCAATGGAGCAGGAACTCCTCGATAGGCCAATATCGATAATAAGCTTGGGCCAAACTGGGCCCAACAGAACCATGATCCTAATCACAGCTGAGCTACAACAGAACGGGTCCGAAAGAACAGACCCAAGGTGCTGCAACGGTCCAATCAGAGTTCAGAACCTCAACTTGACTGAGACGCTGTGGTGGACCTTCAGAGAGCTGAGCAGAACCCTCATTGATGAAAAGAAGATTGGACCAGAAGTCCTCAGAACCATGAGAGACAAACAGAAAACCCACTGTTCTGCTGGAGAAGATTCTACAAGCTGCTCGATCAGGACCTGGAACCATGTTTTTTTTGTTTCTTTTTAACAAATAATGACTTGGTAGAACCTGTTGAGTGTTTTTGTTAAGAAGTCACAACAGATTCATTTTGGAACCTGATAAAGACCCGATCAGGTTTATTATGTTAAAACCTCTGAGCTGACAGAGGCTCTCGGTCGTTAACATCAATTAATCTGCACAAGTTTTCTCAAAGCATCTGTTGTTTTTAGTCTTCTTACCCACAGCATTCCCGAGAATGTAGATGATGGAGCTCATGAGAAAAGAGCCCACCCAGTAGAGTCCAATGGACCGATAACTGTCCCTGCAAGCACATAGGACTGTCAGAACCAGAACCAGGAAAAGACAGACAGAAACTGGTCTTACCCCCAAGTGATGGCAGCGATCATCAGCAGATACATGAGATAATGCACACAGCCGTCCCAATAGGAAACCATGTGGCCGTGTGCTGTATTAATATGTGGATCCCCCTGATTTATGGGATGGATTTATTAGTGACGGACAAACATTCAGGTCGATCACAGACACTTTACTCACCTCTCTGAGATAAAATGTGACAAATCCATCAATGATGTTGTCTTGCTCCAGTCCGATGATCAGACTCACCACACTGAGGAATGCGTACGCCGCGTACACTGCACACAGATGTTATACTGTATATCAGTAAACTACACTGAGCTGCGATTTGATTTAAAATCAAACTGAATTTAGATCTGCCATACCATAGAAAAGAGGATCTGCTGGAGCTTTCTTCTTGAGCATAAACTGGACTGAAATGGCCAGAATCACGACTGCTGAGCTCCCAGCGAAGAGGAACGCTTCAGCGCTGCATGCAGTGTTTAAATATATATAAATCAACATCTGACAAAGCTTCAGCTTCTGTTAATGATGAACAAAGACTCACTCACCTGTTGTTGTAAATGAGTGAATTGATAAAGTAGCAGAAAGGTATGGACGTCAGGGAGAGCAGGAACACCCCTGTCCCTGCAGAAGCACTCATTGCTGGCTGAGATTTACTGCATTTAGACTTTTAAGACTGAATAATTGAAACTCATCCGGCAGTAAGTTCAGTTTACATCACAAATCAAGGATTTTCAGGAAAGTCTCTGTGAATGTTTGATGAAATGAGCAAGTCTGGATGCATGTTCTGTCTCGTCCCTCTGCTCTGTCTGGAACTCTCTCTTCTCGTTTTAACTTCCTACCAACATTTGCTCACAGCTGTTCATAATCTCTGGGGAGCAGGGGCGTCTCCAGAAAGCTCTCAAACAGGGGGCCATGGCTCTGCTGGTAATCCTGAACAAAACAGAAAACAAAACTCTTCATCTTCCTAAATATCAGACCAGTAGAGGTCAGTTTTCTCTCAGTTACAGGGGAGCTAAAGTCTGGAATGATTTTTCACAGGCAAGCCTTCTGTAAAAGAGTTTAAACGTTATTTAAAACTTTATTTAATTAAAGAATAGTGATTGCCACTTTTTAATTGTTACATATTTTATTCAAATTTCCATTAATACTTTGTAGATAAGTTTTTATTTATTAATTTTTTCTGTATAACTGTATTCCTAAATGTATGATCAATTGACTGTATTCTTGGATTGTATTATTTATATGTACTGGGTGGAGGCTTTATATAAGTCCACTGGGCTTCTGCCTCTCCCTGCAATGTTATTATAATTATTTTTTTCTCAATATCTTTGGTTTGTATTTTAATTGTGCAAAATAAAATAAAATAAAATAAAATAAAATAAAATAAAAAAACAGAGGAGGTGGTACCTATCTCCAGTAATCACTGTGAGAAACAGCAGAAATATATATATAAAAATACCTGTTGGCCAATAGAGAGGTTATAAAAAATACTGGATGTAACATTTAAAAAAGTTGAATTTGTATATGTTTATCTTTAAATTATATAGTTTTATATCATGAGGTACAGAACAGGTTGAAGAACTGGGAGATAAAGTTAGAGAGGCCAGAATGAATTTGTTTGGACATGTCCAGAGGAGGGACAGTGGGTATATTGATAGAAGAAGAAAAAAGACAAAGAGGATATATATGGATGCAGTTAGAGAGGACATGGAGGTAGTTGGAGTGAGGACAGAGGATGCAGAGGGCGCAGAGGTTAGAGAGGTGGGCTTGTGATCCGAAGATCGCCGGTTCACGCCCCGGCCCCGACAACATCAAAATTGTGGGTGGGGTAGGTGAAACACCCACACTTGCCCCCACCCTCATTCGCCCCACCCTGGGCCCATGAGCAAGGCCCTTAACCCCCACCATGTGCTTCCTAAACAGGTCTCTCTTGAAAATGAGTTCTCGTGGCTCAATGAGACTAACCTGGATAAATAAAGGCTAAATGAAAAAAAAAAAAAAAAAAAGAGGACGGAGTGAGATGGAAGAGGATGACTTGCTGTGGCGACCCCTGAAGAACGAAAAGCCAAAAGAAGAAGAAGAAAGAAGTTGATCTGCAGTTACAATACAAATATTTAAAGACAAAATTATTTTAATTTTTAGATTTATTTTAGAATAGAAGGCAACGGGAATCCACAAACCACCAATCAAATGACAAAGAAGTTAGGCGGTATACAGGGAGCACACTGTAATGAAATGGTAGAACCAGCAGGTGGCGGAGACATATTTTGAAGAACGAGAACTGACAACAAAACACCAACGAAGAAGAAGTGTTTTGGCGGAAGTGCGTTTTGTTGAAGTACATACAATGGAAGCTTAGCTAGCGATGGATAACACGTAAATAAACGACGCATTCCCACTATCGATACACGGTGATGTGTCATAGTGGGTTGTTATAGCTGTCAAAATATTTATTTATATTTTTGTTTGTTAGTAATGGCGAGCAGCGGAGGCGGCGGATTGGCGTCAAACCAAAGCAGCCAGCAGCAGGACTCGAATGCTTCCGAGTCGGCTCAGTGCGGCGCCGCGGCGGCGTCCAACAACCTGCAGCCCGCGTCCGCACCGTCCTCCTCCCCTTCGGTCGTCGGTCTTCACCGGGAGCCCGTGTACAACTGGCAGGCGACGAAAAGCTCCCTGAAGGAGCGCTTCGCTTTCCTGTTCAACAACGAGCTGCTCAGCGACGTGCGGTTCGTGGTGGGTAAAGGCAGACAGGCCCAGAGGATACCGGCTCACAGGTTCGTGCTGGCCGCGGGCAGCGCCGTCTTCGATGCCATGTTCAACGGAGGGATGGCTACGACCTCGGCGGAAATAGAGCTGCCAGATGTGGAGCCAGCAGCCTTCCTGTCCCTGCTCAGGTACTCCGGGTCCAGTACAGGTAGTCTCACTGGGCTGCGAGCAGGTTGAAGAAGGGAGTCTCCAGAATGTCTCATCTGGGTCTCAGAGGCTCGCAGTCCTGGCGAGTTTTGAACGTTTAAAGACAAAGTGCGACATATTGGCTCTGGATTATAGTTATTATAACACTGACTGGAATACAGGTTTGCAGGGAAAAGGGCAGTGAGACATTTTCAGTGTCAAACTGAGTTTAATGAAGTCGCAGCTCAGTGAGACACCTTTTAACACCCAGAGCTGTAACCTGGATTATCGTAATACTTTTGTGCATTAATGTTGACGTAATGCTTACACAAATGGAAGATGTATTTGTGTAAAAGTATGAGCATTATTTTTTTAATTCCTTTCCACAGAGCCAGACCGTAATGTCTCATTTTAAGTCTGGTTTCTGCCCCTGACAGAATCATGCAGATAAATGAAGAGCAGTGTTAACAATTAGACAACATAAACCAGTTTAATTCATTTAACATAAAAACACATTCAAATAACAGGGATGGAAGTGTGTTTTGTCGTCACAGTAAAACTTTGTAGCAACAAATAATCTGTTTTACCAGGTTAAGTCTGATTCTGTGGACAGATTAACGTATTTTATCCACAATACTTCTTCAGTCTGAGGAGCTGCAACAAACTCAGTCCAGTTTGCTGGTGACAGACATAACTAGTTGTCACATGTAAAAGGAGGACCATCAGCCTAACATTTAGTCGTTAATGCCTTGACGGCCGCTTGCTCTTCACAGGGGGCTGAGTGATACTAGCAATAACAGCATTGTAAGAGGGGGACAGTTGGACACGGAGGCCTCCACCCCTGTTTAATGATGGACGGGTTCTTAATCTCTTCACAAAAATGGCCTCCTTCACTCTTCTCAAACCATCGTTCCTCTCCATCAAGGATGTGAACATCTTCATCCCTGAAAGAGTGACCGCTGGCCTGGAGATGAGTGTAGACCACAGAGTCCTGTCATGATGATGTTGATCTTCTGTGCTGGGCCATCCTTTTGGCCAGTGGCTGTTTAGTTTCCCCGATGTAAGACTGATCACAGCCCTCCTGACACTGAACAGCATACACAATATTACTCTGTTTGTGCCGGGGGACTGGATCTTTGTGATGAACCAGTCTTTGCCGTAATGTATTTTGGGGTTTAAAAGCCACTGGGACGTTGTGTTTAGAAAATAAATGTCTTAGTTTCTCCGAAACTCCCGCAACATACAGAATGGCCACTGGTGGGTTCCACCTTTTCACCTGATGGCTGACTGGAGTCCTGTTTGGGTTTCTTATCTACTTTCAGGAAGGTCCAGTTAGGATATCCACATTGCTCCCCCTGTTAAACAGGGGTGGAGGCCTCCGTGTTCAACTGTCCCCCTCTTACATTACTGTTATTGCTAGTATCACTGGCTCTCTGTGAATAGCACACAGACATTGGAGCACTCACAATCAATTGTTAGGCTGATGGTCCTTCTTTTACGTGTCAACAACTAGTTTCGGCTGTCACCAGCAAACGTTCTGATCCACTATATCCACTATATACTCCATCCGAAGTGCTGAAATCGGCTCTCATTGTCACAGTTGCGTGAAAAAAATTGCGTCATTTTGTTCTCAGAGTAGCTCCGCCCCTTCTCGACACAAGCCTCAGACTGAACTTTTTCTCACAGGCGTATGCACCAAGAATTGTGTGATTGGTCAGAAGTTTGTGGGAGTGTTTGTCGATGTGAAAATGCGCTCTGACATTCAGCCGTACGACTCTTTGCTAGTCAAATGGACAAAACCTCCTGGATGGAGATCGTGCACACACGGAGTCTGTCTGCTGAAAAGTGTGGCGCTTTCTATTATAATAGATTTGTGGCCAAACGGTGGCTGCAGGGACTGATTAAAGACTCTGGGGGGAAGAAATTCGTGTGATGACGTATACAGCAGCGGGAGTGTTTCCCAGGAGCTCTGTGTCTCATGGGCTGTGAAAGGTGTGTTTGAAATCGAATGTCCTTCAACCACATGACCACGAGTCGACTGTTCGACTTCAGCTGGATTATGTTGGGCCCTTGAATTTGTTACAGTTTCTCAGACTGTTTCAACAAAGGAGAATCTGTTCAGAGGACCTGACTCAACCGTGCTAGACTCATCTACCTGGATTATTGAGCATGCATCAGGACAAGTTTTATATTAATTCTTTAGGCCTAATTTAATGCCTTATTTTTATGTTGCATCTTTGGAACGTGTCACAAATAAAAACAGTTTTAGGACACCTTGGAGTGCTGGTGATTTTAAAGGCTCTTCCAGCTTATAGAGCACCTAAAGATTGATGCATGAATTAAACCGTATTAAACCTTTGATTTTACAGAAGACAGTCTTTTCCCCATGGCTGTAGCTAATAAATTATATCCTCTGTTTTCCTTTTAGGTTCTTGTACTCCGACGAGGTCCACATCGGTCCTGAGACTGTGATGACGACTCTGTACACAGCGAAGAAATACGCCGTTCCTGCTCTCGAGGGTCACTGTGTGGAGTTCCTCACCAAACACCTCAGAGCTGACAACGCGTTCATGCTTCTCACTCAGGTCACCGTCAGCCTGACTAACACAAACCTGATGCCTCAAATAGCCAGAGGCGTTAAATAAAACCCGTCACTGGTTCAGTTTTACATTTTAAACGTCACTCGATTACCGGAGCCCGTCCTTCCAAAGATTAGGTTATTTATGGGTCTTTCCCAGAACCTCCTGAGGAGTTTTTAATAAAACTACAGTCTTTCAAAACTTAAAGCGCTTTTGAAGCAAAGCGGGGGCAGAGGTTATAAAAAATCTATTAAAATTTTAAACCCAGTCTATTTTTTATGTGGTTCTGAATCAGATCCATATCTGATGTTTGTCAGTGACCTCAGTGTGAACGCTCTCGTCTCATTCCATCGGTGAGGTCGGATGTGGATCGATCCACATATTGATAATATTGATGCCAACGTGGTGCAGGTTAAAGCTCAGAACTCCACACGTCCAGCTGCTTTGTCTTTTTTAATTCATCATGTCCTGATGACTTGAGAGTCTACACCAACATCTGATACCAGTGCTGTGTTGGACCGTATCGATGCTAACGTGACAGATCCGTCTTTTTTAGTTCGTTTCAACTGTCAGTACGTCGCTCCTGTTCCAGAAGAGAAATTCAGCAGCAGAATATGCAGAAAGATCTAATGTAACCTCTGAACCAGACAATCCTGTCGGATGATAATTTAGTTGGTTCTGACTGAACAACTTCAGAATGGATCCGCACATGCTAGCACGTGCAGCCTCCTTATTTCCTTGTGTAAACGCGGCGTGCTGCGAGTGACGTCACGTCATCTACTGCGTGTCGCTGCAGAACCATGAACTTTTCGCCATGGAGGTTGATGCTCAGTTTTTGGATTGTTACGAAAGGCAAGCTAACATGATCATTTGTGTATTTATTTGCTTGTTAGCAAAATATCTCATGAATGTATTTTAATGAAACTCTGAAAGTAATAACTGGACATGCAGCTGATAATCATTTGGAGTCATCGAGCACTAAAATGGCTACAACTTAGTCAGTTTTGTGGATATGGAGCTAAAAGGTGGAGTGGCAGTAGCGGTCATCCTAAACACACTCTGGCAGCTCATGCACCATCTTTACTATCTTGGTGGGCGATATGCATTCCCACAAGGAAAGCTAGTTTAATTTTAACACCAGTAAAAGTTGAGCTCTTGCCCTAATAGGCATCTCTGCAGACAAATATGGAAGGCGTATCTGGAGGGCCACATCTGATTGGACGAAGAAAAAAAACAAGGTGTTATTGGCAGATTGTGTTAACCACAGGCATGTTATGTCTATGGTGTTACCGGTTCGACATTAGCAGCATAAATGGGTAGTCGGGAGGACTAAATGTTAGTTTTTTAATACCTAGCCATTACATTAAAAAAAACAAATTTGTTTTGGTTGTTGAATAATGTGAAAATAGTTACAATCGATTCATAAAGAAAGATAAAGTAACCAAAATAATAATGATGCTTAAACTGGCTTTGGGACAAAGGATGTTTCCTTTAACTTCACATTTTATATTCACATTTAAAAAAAATATATATTATTATTATTTTATTTTTAATGTATTTATTTACTTATTTTTATAGTCACACATCACATTTTACAAATAAGATGGCAAAAGAACATTTTCATTCAACCTTTATTTAGACGGGTTAATCCCATTGAGCCTCGAGGACTCATTTACAAGAGAGACCTGATTTCAACAAAGAGTGATGACGACGACAACAATAGACCGTTGTAAAAAAAAAAAAGGCATACAGTTTGTTTTTTTACAAATAAGATAGCAAAAAACAGCTAGATTATAAGGCGAATATAGAAAACAAAAAAAGTGGCAAGGACCAATGCAGACATGTTCCTGTTTTTAGTTTTCTACATTCGCCTTATAATTAGCTGTTTTTGTTACTTTTTTTTCCATCTTATTTGTAAAAAAACAAACTATGCCTTTTTTTTATAACTGTCTATTGTTGTCGCTGTTGTCCATTGTGTCCTCATTCTTTGTTGAAATCAGGTCTCTTGTAAATGAGTCCTCGAGGCTCAATGGGATTAACCCGTCTAAATAAAGGTTGAATGAAAATTTTCTTGTTCGACCTTTTAAATCAGTCACTGCAGATGAGCGATCGTCAGTTTCTGTCAGATTTCTGCAACTGGAGCAGATATTTCTGTTTACTGGTTAACTTCCTCAGCTGTCTCACATTTTAAGGGTCAATCCTACTCCATGTTTCAGCTCCTTTCATAGATCAGATCTCGTAGAAGAACTGCTAAAGAGCTAATTTTGTTTTTAGCTTTTGTTTTGGGCCGTTATCTGTTACAGGACTCATGATCTTTAATTGAGACCAGACTTTTTGACAAATGGGAGCAGGTTTCGTTTCAGATGCTTCATATTTCATTGCACCCAGATCACACTCAAGACGACCCGTGTCAGGTGCAGCCTACAACCCAAGGACTAAAGAGAATCTTCTTGTTTGACAGCAGATATAACGCTGTTTCTTCTAAACTTTCAGTTTAAAAAAATAGCTGATGTAACTTACCTAAAGAGCCAGAAAATCAGTGTTTGCCCTCTAGAAACGCCCACTTTTGGTCTGCAGAGAACTCCTCCTCTTGCTGCAGATTAATGTGACGTGTTCTTTGCATGTTTTTCTAGATTTAAACATTTTTTGTATTTTTTTTTTTTTACAGGCGAGGTTGTTTGATGAGCCTCAGCTGGCCAGTCTCTGTTTAGACACGATAGATAAAAGCACCGCAGACGCGATCAACGCCGAGGGCTTCACGGACATCGACCTCGGTACGAGACGCTCCTCTCCTCTTCGGCTGTCAGCGCTGCAAACCACTGAAGCTCCGTGTGTTTGTCCCTGCAGACACTCTGTGTGCGATCCTCGAGAGGGACACGCTCAGCATCAGGGAGAATCGTCTGTTTGAAGCGGTGGTGCGCTGGGCGGAGGCCGAGTGTTACAGACAACAGCTTCCCCCCACCGCCGAGAACAAGCAGAAGGTTCTGGGGAAAGCCCTCCCCCTCATCCGCTTCCCGCTCATGACTGTTGAGGAGTTTGCAGCCGGTAAGTGATCCGCCGAAGCAGGATTTGGTTCTCAGCTCAGCTCAGTTCCTGGTGTGTCCATACAAGTCCGACCGCAGAAACCAGCTTCAGTTTCTTTCTTGTGCAACAGGGCCTGCCCAGTCTGGGATATTGTTCGATCGGGAGGTGGTAAATCTGTTTTTACACTTTACAGTAAACCCCAAACCGCGGGTCGACTACATCGACAGGCCTCGCTGCTGCCTCAGGGGAGAGGAGTGCAGCATTAATAGGTTCCAGCAGGTCGAGAGTCGATGGGGGTACAGCGGGACCAGCGACAGGATCAGGTGGGGCTTCTTTTGACTTCCCACATTTATTTAGGAAACTTTCCTTGGGAATAAACCTGGAGGTTGGCTGTTAACAGATTATATTCATGTCCATATTTGATCTTAATCTGAACTAATACAACAATATGACTGGAATCAGTCTCTGCTGCTCCTCCATCTTCCTACAAACCTGGACCACGGAGACCGTACACGTTGAGCTTGCCGACAACATAAAGTGAATTAAACTTTGCTCATTTTATTGAGTAAATAGAACCGATGTCTGGGATTAACACAGCAAAGCTGTGTTGTCTGACTAAACAGCTTTTTAAATCCTAAATCACACATTTCTGTTATTTTTATCTACGTTAATGAGTTTTAATATAAGCTGTTCAAGACGTCAGAAACAAAACTAAATAAAATTTCTGGTCTTTAGCTGCACAGATCTGTTGTTTTGGATCAGTTCAGGGAACGTTTCAAATGTTTCTGAAAGTTTTCAGCTCAACTTCCCGTGGAAAGTTTCCGTCCCTTTTCAGCCCTGACCCTCGTTAGAACGAGCTGACCTCATGAATTTGTCCTCCTCTGCTCGTAGGTTCAACGTTAACAGAAGAATATGTGTGGTGGGCTTCGGCCTGTACGGGTCGATACACGGGCCCACGGATTATCAGGTCAACATACAGGTAAGGCACAGCGATGTCCTCACACTATCAGAAACTTCTAGTTTATATTCTTCATCAAAGTGCATTTTGTCCTAAACACATAAGTTTGTGTTAGCGCTCATTTATTTGTAAAGAAACTCATTAAAGTTATATTGAATGAATGCTTATCACCCGCTGCCCTTCGTGTCAGACTGTGTGGTTTTACACGCTCTCCCACAGTTTGTTTCTCTCTCTGGGCTGCAGCTTTTAATACGGGAAGAAAATCTGAATTTTCAGCTGCAGCCTCACTGAACTGAATGTTTGTGAGCAGCTGTTTGAAAATTCTCACCTTTTTTTTTTTTTTTTTTTTTTGTGCAAATCCGTATTCTTGGTGTTATTTTGTTGTCCACCTCAGCAGCTGTTCCAAGTTTATGATGCAGTCTGCAGGAGCATGCTTTATGAATGAGGGAAGGCTGATTTGGACCAGTTTTTGTCCCCGTGTCAGAGCAAAGCCGGGACATGGAAATGCCCTTTGTCCATCTGTTTTCTGAGCATGAAACACAAGTGAAGCGCTGGCTTCCATTTTGGTTTGTGGTTACATCTAGGCGTAAGAAAAGTCACTTTTGAAAATTGGGTTGCCACGTTAAAATCCAAGATGGCCACCGTCATAAATGTATGTAAACTGACCACCTCTGTCATTTGATGAAACTCTGCTTTCTAGTTTTTATATTGGATAAAAGTATGGATTCCTTAAATGATTGGGGTGGCCAAAGATTAATCTATGGGGGCCAAGGCCACCATTGGTCACCCTCTGGTTCCTCCATTGCACCTGGTGGTGCATAAAATGTGTCCCTCCTCTCCAGGATCTGTCGCTCTGCTCCGCCTTGGACAAGAAAAACAAAAACCTCCCTCTGTTCTCCTCCACAGAGCAACTCCTGCCCACCTGATTATCTTTCACTAAAAACAGGTTTACTTCATTCACTGTTGAAATCCCTCAGAGACGGGGACATTGTCTTCTTGTTTAATATTTATCATGGATGTGGTGTTGGACCTGGACATGCCTTCTGTCATACCAGATCTTCAACTAGAGATGGAGAAACTGAAAACTTTGAACGTGGCAGCTTCTAAAAACCCAGTTTTTGCAGAGAATCTGGGTCTGATGTGACGTAACGAGGCTCGTTCGCAGCACTCAACGTGGTTTTGGTCGAGCTGACACGACACTCGAAACACTTTGAGCGTAATGTTCCTACAGCTGGATCGAGACGGGTCGGAGACTCGGGTTCTGATCCAAACCAGACCTGTGATTCTCTGAGACTCATGGAGAACATTTCAGAGACTCCTCCTGCTCGTTAACCCGCTCACTGACGTACAACCTTTATTGCTCTGAACATGTTTTAGGGATGACTCCCAGCTACTATCACCAGTGTTGTATAAAGTACCTCAAAGTGATACTTCAGTGAAAGTACAAGTATCTTACCATAAAATTACTTGGATAAAAGGTAAAGTCTCCTTTAAAATTATTACATAAGTAAAAGTCTTAAAGTATCTGGCATTTAATGTACTTAACAACAAAGTCCATGCTCAATAATCCAGGTATACAATCCAACATTTTTCAGTCAGGTCATCTGGACAGTTTCTTTTTTTGTGTTGAAACGTTTCAACTTCGATCCAGAAGGCTTCATCAGTCAAGGAAACACAACAAAACTGATTCTTCCCCCAACAGCTTACTCCAAAGAGGAACAAACCAGTTTTGTTGGTGCTAAGATGGTCTCTTTGGTACGCCCCTTCCTCTGTCAACAAGGAAGAGGGCCGGTAATGGAGGAGGGGGCGTACCAAAGAGACCATCTTAGCACCAACAAACTGGTTTGTTCCACTTTGGAGTAAGCTGTTGGGGGAAGAATCAGTTTTGTTGTGTGTTTCCTTGACTGATGAAGCCTTCTGGATCGAAGGCGAAACGTTTCAGCACAATAAAAAGAAACTGTCCAGATGACCTGACTGAAAAATGTTGGGTTAATGTACTTAAGTATCAAAAGTAAATTTTTCGTATAAAATGTACTTAAAGTAAGAGTATTCAGTAAAAGTAAATGGTTAGAATTTCCAAAACATTTATTGGTTGTAATATCTAATGACAAAAACTTGTAAAGTTTGAACTGAACAATGAAAGATTGCTCTTTAAAAAGTCTGATTGATTTTAATAAAGTATATTCATTCAACCTTGATTAACCTTTATTAACAAAGCTGTTAGAAAGCTCATGTTGTTGTGTACTTGACTTGTTTACTGAGCTCGGTTCTCTTTGGTTATGGCTTGTTTCCTTCTGAATTTAATAGTTCCTATGCTCTTGAATGCACCGTGGCTGTTCCAAAAGCTAGTGAACGCACCGCTATTTGTAAAGTGCAGAGCTCAGTTGGAGTTTTTTTTCTCTCCTGACATGGACGGAGCCTTGTTGTTCAAGCTTGTTTGTGCTTTACTGGTTTACTGCTGTGTGTAGCTACCACAAGAAACACAGCAAATAAATTACCCTAAACTGGATATCTGTCTCCGTGTTCTTTAATGGCAAGACTAGTGGCCCAACAACTTCATACCTTGCTGCTTTAATCCAGGGGTGTCGAACTCGCTTACAAAAGGGGGCCAAAAATTGAAACCTTTTTCAAACTAAGGGCCAATTTCAGAAACTACATGAACTCAAATGAGATACCCAACATCTTTTCTTGGTCACAGGTTCCTCAACAAGAGTTTGATTGGTCTCATTTGATGTTCTGTTTGTGCTTTCAACATCGTAATCAAAGAATACTGAAAAAATTCAAGAGAGAAGTATTTTACATTTCACATATCACCTTGAGGGCCAGATAAGACGTCAACAAGGGCCACATTTGACCCCCGGGCCTTGAGTTTGACACACATGCTCTAACCAGTTCATGTCCTGGAGAACATCAAACCTCTTCTTTTTAGCAGCTAAAAGTGAGGGAGGGGCCGCGTGAAGTCACAGACTGGGAGAACAAACAGGCACTGCCCAATCAGATTTCTTCTAATTTTATATTGTAGGAACAAGTAACTAAGATGGTTAAGGGAAATGTATTGAAGTAAAAGTACACATTTTATTGAGGAAATTTAGTGGAGTAAAAGTGAAAGTCGCTAGAAATGTAAATAACGAAGTAAAGGTACGTCAAAATTCTACTTAAGTACAGTAACAAAGTATTTCTGCTTTGTTACATTACAACACTGACTACCACAACAAACTTTAGCACAGTATTCCTTAAAACGGCCGATTTATAGCTCTTGTTTTGCTGCGGCGGCCATCTTGATTTGGCTTGATGATCATCTGGTAATTTTTTTTCTGTTAGTTTTGAATGTTTTAGTAAAGATCCATTTTCTGTGTAATAAAGTTCACTTTTAATTCCAAGTTTGAAACCTTTAGTTTCCAGGCATTAAAATTAAGCAAGTTTTTTTTTCTGTCTTGTTTTATTTTGAAGCTTTTCTTGTTCGATAAGAATCCACCCGAGCTTTTCCGTTTCCTAACGTCGCACCAACACTTTTGGCTTGCTGTTAAATAAATAAACGAGTAAAAAGTTTTATCTGAATTCAAATGAACCCCACAGATGAAAGTCCCTTTTCAGTTGAATGGTTTTAAATGGCTTCAAAGTTTTATTTTAGTCATTTGCTCCTCTTTGATTCAGCGTCGGGATGTTTTTCAGATCCTAGAGAGCGATAAACGGATCGCGCTGGGTCAGAACGACACGGGCTTCAGCTGCGACGGTTCAGCGAACACCTTCAGAGTCATGTTCAAAGAGCCCATCGAGATCCTGCCCAGTGTCAGTTACACTGCCTGCGCCACGCTCAAGGTCAGCCCAAACTCACCTCGCTGACCTTTAAAAACCCGAAGTCGTATGTTCATAACTCTGAACGTTTAATTTCTTTCCCTCTCAGGGTCCAGACTCGCATTACGGCACCAAAGGCTTGAAGAAAGTGACCCAGGAGTCGACAACTGGGACCAAGACAACGTTTTTCTTCTTCAGCTCGCCTGGAAACAACAACGGTACGTCGGTGGAGGACGGGCAGATCCCAGAGATCATCTACTACATTTAGACCGTCAGGATGTAAGACCGGTACCAAAACCAGGGAGGTCTCAGACCACTGGGAGGACTGGACTCAGTGCCTCAGGATCCCCTGGAAGATTGAAGTGTGTGTGGGGGGAATGTTGAAGCTCTGTTGTAAATACTTTAAATACTCGTGTCTGTTGGTGTTAACCAAGTTAAAGCTGCGCTGGTCAAATCTCCACCTGACGTCACATATTCAAAGCATCATCGACACATTTCTACGTTTTTATTTCTGTGTTGTGAAGTCGTCGTCTGTTGTTTGATAGTAACTTATGACTTCATGTTCACATCAGTGACATGTTAAACTGAGACGTTTGTAATGAAATGGCGTGTCTAATTTCAGCTTTTAAGCAATAAAATGTATCTGAAGGAGGTAAATCTTTCATGTTGTTCCTCTTTCTATCACTAGGGGGCGCCAGATGCGGTTGTTTTTTTTTTTGTTTTTTTTTCATTTTTACAGTTTACAAACTGCAGGAGGGATTACTTCCTGCAGAGGATTTCATCTTCAGCTTCTCTAAATGTCTGTTTCTCTAATTTAAAAAGGATATTCACATTTATCCATCTGAACATGAACATCTGTGACAAGTTGTTTGACGTGTTTCTCACCAGCATTCGGGAGGGATGGGAACCCTGGACATGTGGGCAGCCTGTAAATTTAAGTTCATGTATTTTTTATTAAATTGACACTTTAAATTGTATCTTATTTCTACTAAATCAAAAAAAGAAGAAATTTAAACTGATTTTGTACAAACCGTTAAAGATCTCCAGTTATGTATGTTTATTTCCCATTTAAACTGGTTTTATTACCAGTTCAAATCGTGGACCTGCAGTTTGTCAGAAAAATGTGGACTGTCCTCTCTGGGTTGAGGTTCTGTCTCAAGTGGAAGAGTTCAGATATCTCTGGTTTTGTTCTCAGTGAGGAAAAATTAAACGAGAGGTCTACAGACGGAACAGTGCAGCTTCTGCAGTATTGTGGACTCTGTGCCGGTCTGTTGAGGTGAAAAATTGAGCTGTAAAGTGAAGCTTTCTGTTTATCGGTCAGTCTACGTTCTTACCCTCACCTGTGGTCCAGAACTCTGGTAAGGTGAACCCTGGACGCCTCCATAGGGAAGTGTTCTGGACATGTCCACCTGGGAGGAGACCCCAAGGAAGACCTAGGACACCCTGGAGAGACTAGTCTCTCAGCTGGTCTGGAACAGCTTGGAGTCCTCCAGAAGAGGTGCCTTTGGGGAGAGATGCTGGACCGCACCGATCCAGCTGCTGCCCCAGAGGAGTCCAGAACCAGATCAGTCGGTCTGTACCGTTAACAAATGTCAGAACACGCACTGCTCCATACTGAGATGCACCTTTTGGTGTAGATTTATTTTTATCCAAAACAGAGCAGGAGCTGAAGTTGAAACATGGACGCCGGCACCTCTGGAACCCCTACTCGAGACTTCAAGTCCAGCAATTAAAAAAATAAATAAAAATAGGTCATTTAAGTGGACCCATGTACCCCAACTTCAGTCGGAGTTCATCCATCCATCCATTATCTTTACCCGCTTATTCCATTTTGGGTCACGGGGGTCGCCGGTGCCCATGTCCAGCAATCACTGTGCAAGGGGCGGGGTACACCCTGGATGGGTCGCAAGTCCATCACAGGGACACATAGAGACAAACAAGACAAACAACCATTCACTCACTCACTCACTCACTCACTCACTCACTCACACCTAGGGACAATTTAGAGTTACCAATCAGCCTAACATGCATGTTTTTAGTCTGTGGGAGGAAACCAGAGTACCCGGAGGAAACCCACGCATGCACGGAGAGAACATGCAAACTAGTTGGAGTTCAGTTTAATTAAATTTTATTTCTACACTCTTACAATGTTGCTGAACATGTGCTGCTTGTGTGAAAAAGCCGAAATGCTCCTTTTATTGCATAAGGTGCAGATTTCTGTGGAAACGAGGCCTCGGGCAGCTGCGAGTGGGCTTTGACGAGGACACCCAGGAAGGCTGTCAGGTGAGTCACAGTGAGGCCTGACAGCTTCTCCTGCCGGCTGCCCACTTCGACGGCCTTCCAAAGTAAAAAGATCTGAGGTTTTATTCCTCCCCCATGTGTGACCTCGGCCCTCCACCTGCGTTGTTTCAGACTCTGCTCCATCACATCTTTGGACGTTTTCACAGAATCAATGTCAGCTGCTTTCTCAAATTATAGACCCACGAGGAGGTTTGAGAGGTTCTGGTGGTTCTGGGTTCTGTGTGGGCGGATGTTTGACTGAGAACCTCGACTGAAACACCGACAGCAGGAAGGAGGATTGGTGTGTCTGCATCTCCAGAGAGCACAGCCGAAGGTTACATCACAGAAAAGCTGAGTCATGTTATCAAAAACATGACAAGCTCAGGTTTCAATCAGAAACCTGAAAGTTGTTTTTTTTTCTGTGAAAATCCAGACTGAGCGCTGAAGTTACTGAAGGAACTGGAACTGAGTGGTTAAGGCTAAAAGAAGCAAAAGTCTACAACAAAGTCCATGCTCAATAATCCAGGTATACAATCCAACATTTTTCAGTCAGGTCATCTGGACAGTTTCTTTTTTTTGTGTGTGCTGAAATGTTTCACCTTACATCCAGAAGGCTTCATCAGTCAAGGAAACACACAACAAAACTGATTCTTCCTCCAACAGCTTACTCCAAAGTGGAACAAACCAGTTATGTTGGTGCTAAGATGGTCTCTTTGTCACGCCCCCTCCTCCATTGCCGGCCCTCTTCCTTGTTGACAGTCGTGTCAAACTGGTTCAAAACAACAAAGTCCATGCTCAGTAATCCAGGTATACAATCCAACATTTTTCAGTCAGGTCATCTGGACAGTTTATTTGATTATTTGATTATTGAGCATGGATTTTGTTGTTTTCAACCAGTTTGACACAACTGGAGGCAAGGAGGAGGGGGCGTGAAAAAGAGACCATCTTAGCACCAACATAACTGGTTTGTTCCACCTTGGAGTAAGCCGTTGGGGGAAGAATCAGTTTTGTGTTGTGTGTTTCCTTGACTGATGAAGCCTTCCGGATCAAAGGCGAAACGTTTCAGCACACAAAAAAAAGAAACTGTCCAGATGACCTGACTGAAAAATGTTTGAAGCAAAAGTCTAGTTAGCAGCTACATGTAACAAAATCCTATTTAAAAGTATGAGCAGCTAAAAGCTAGCTAAAAGTATCAAAAACTAGCAAAAAAGTAGATGTATTAAGAGGCTGGCTAAAAGTAGTAAAACAGTAGCTAGACACTAGTATAAATGAGTCGGGTCCTCCAAATCGTCCAAGAACTGGTCTCCTCAAACTGAAGAAGTCTTCTGGATAAAAGACGAAACATTTCAACAAAGAAGAATCCGTCCAGAGGACCTGATACAACCACATATAACGTCATTAAAATTAATATCCAAAGGCTAGCTAAAAGTAGCAAAAGTCTACTAGAAGCTAAATGTAGCAGAAGCTTTAAGTAGCAGAACAGTAGCTAAAAAGCTTAAACAGTTGAAGGCTAGAAAAGCTAGAAATAGAAAAAAAACTAGCTAAAAATCAAAAGTATGAAAGGACTGGCTTAAAAGGTAATAGCAATTGCTATTATCTAGCACCTAAATGTACTGGAGCACAATTATAGCCACAACAACTCACCTGGTATTTGGCAGCTGGTAACAACTTCTCTTGTTTTCCAGCTGTGACTCAGAAACATCTTCTCTGATCAACAACCGATAAAGTCAAGTCAAGTCATATTTATTTATAGAGCACAATTTAAAACAGATAGACTGTTATCAAAGTGCTTATCACTAAGGGTAACACTGAGAAATAAAAAGCAGTAAGAATATACCTTAAAAAATTAAAACAGCATTAAAATGAAGACATGGAACAAGATATACTAAATCAACTCACACAGTATGAAACGCCAGAGAGAACAGATATGTTTTTAGCAGGGATTTGAACACAGGAAGGGAGGTGGCATGCCTAATGTTGGGGGTAGGTTGTTCCACAGTTTGGGACCCATGACTGAAAACGCCCGATCTCCTCGGAGCTTCAGTCGTGTTTTTGGAACAACCAAAAGCAGCTGATTGGATAATCTCAGAGCCCGAGAGGGAACATATGGTTCCAGTAGCTCAGAGAGGTAGATGGGTGCGAGGCCATTTAGGCACTTATAGGTCAGGAGGAGAATTTTGAAATCAATCCTAGTTCGCACAGGAAGCCAGTGTAGGGAGGACAGAACTGGTCTGATATGCTCATACCTCGGTGTACCGGTTAAGAGCCGAGCTGCAGCATTCTGGACGAGCTGTAGCCGTGAGATAGAGGCCTGGCTGACCCCAGCATACAGTGAATTACAATAGCCCAGGCGGGTTGTGATGAATGCATGGACTAGTGTCTCAAGGTCGGGTCTAGACAGCACTGGCTTGAGCTTAGCTACCTGCCGCAGTTGGAAGAAGCTTCTCTGCAGAACTGAACTGATCTGTTTGTCGAACTTAAAATCCGAGTCAAAAAGCACTCCAAGGTTTTTAACAGAGTGCTTCAGATAAGGCTGAAGGGAGTCCAGGTTCACAGGATAAGAGGCGGTAGCTGAGCTAGGGCTAAAGACAATGACTTCAGTCTTCTGGTCGTTAAAACTTAGAAAATTTGAAGCCATCCATGTCTTAATGTCGTCCAGACATTTGAGGAGAGGGTGGACGGAACAAGCACCGGCTGGTTTCAGTGGCAGGTAGATCTGACAGTCATCGGCGTAGCAATGGAATGGAATACCATGTTTTCTTAGGATCGACCCCAGCGGAAGCAGATAGAGTGAAAATAGAAGGGGTCCGAGAATCGAGCCCTGCGGGACACCGCAGGAAAGAGGCATTGAAGTCGATAGATTTTTACCCACCTTCACACAAAAACTCCTGTCAGAGAGATATGAGCGGAACCAGTCTAATGCAGCACCTGTAATCCCAACCCAGTGTTCAAGCCGAGAGATGAGGATACTGTGGTCAACAGTATCGAAAGCGGCAGTAAGATCGAGGAGTACAAGAGCCACAAAATGACCAGAATCATTTGCTGTTAAAATGTCATTACAAACCCTAACCAAAGCTGTTTCGGTGCTGTGGAGCTGCTTGAAACCAGACTGAAAGACCTCAAAGATTTTGTTCTCAGTTAAAAACTGATTTAACTGAGTAAAAACTACTTTTTCCAGGATTTTGGACAGAAAGGGGAGTTTTGAGATTGGCCTGTAATTTGAGCAGGCTGAAGGGTCAAGACCAGGTTTCTTAATTAACGGTGTGACTACTGCATGTTTGAACGCCTCTGGGACCACGCTTGTAGCAATACTACTGTTTAGTATTGTTAGAACAGCAGGCCCAATCGCTGGTAGAACCTGTTTGAA